AAACAGGGACAGGCAGAGTTGTGATGGGTAACAAGTAGCTTGAACTTGATGCAGTGGAAATGAGGGCATCAGTGGAGAGATTAAAAGGGGTGTTACAAGCGCTCTTTCCTGCTAGATCCTGTTCATGAAATACATCGCTGGCAATGCATTTTTGTCTTCATGCTTCCCTCCTTGTTACAGGACAGACTGCCTGCTCAGATGTCTGCGAGAGGAGTGAGGCAGCTCCAGCGACAGCAAAAAGAAACCGGAGTTCCCTAAAGAGCACCTGGATATAAGGATATAAGCCTTCTAAAGCGGGGAGTTTGACAAGCCAGTTGGCATTGGCAGCTAGACCAAGGAATCTGCAATTAAAATGGAATACAGGTACCACAGATGTGCAGTTCATTGACAAAGAGGATTTAACAAACAAATGCCCCGGCTCTTTTAAGGCCAGTAAAAATACTTTTGCCAGACAACGCATGAATTTTAAAGGTCAGAAGAGTGTCTGCTAAAAATAGGCTCTGCTTATGGAGCAGATCTGCTCCCTGCATCTATCACTGGTCAGACCAACTGATTGTGTTGATGTGATGGAATACACCCCCATGTTCACACCCTCCACACTAGTGTAATAATCTTTGTTCAAGGCATGCCTTGGGAGGTATCATTTGAAAACTCATACCTTGCTGGTCAGTGATATTATAGTAACATGCATCTATCAACATTATATGTAAAGTTATGAACATAAGCTGAAATCATGGTGACGTATGTTCGCCAGATAACTCTGCGGAGTGGTTAAACCAGTTCCTCAAAGACAAAGGGCCAAGCTGACATCCCAGCCAGGTGTCAGCAAAACTAATGGGCAATCACCTACCTCGTGGTCAAACTTTGGCAAGAAAGGGGAGCAGAGGAAAGAGATCTGAATCTTAGTCATGAAATAGCATGAAGTCTCCTTCCTGCAGCAGACAGCCTCTCTCCTGGCTTTTCAAAGAGGGACTAAAAAAACAATAAAAAGGCAGGGCAAATGCCCCCAGACACCCCTCTCTCTCCCTGTCTGTCTCTGGCTGTGCACCTAAGGAGACAAAGGAAAACGGCCATTGGACTGCTGGAGGCATGTGGTGAAAAACTTGGCTTGAATCTAATATAGTTTGTTAAGTTAAGCACCAAAAAGCGTTTTATCTTTATTTTTCTTGTAGCTATTTCTGACTCTTATGCCTCATAACTTATACTCTTTTAAAACGCTCTTTGTAGTTAAAAAACTTGTTTTGTCTAATCCAGTGTGTACGTTGAACTCTCTGGGTAACTTCCTTTAAGGTGGTGAGCTGCTGTTATTCCCTGAAAGTAATAGCGGATTTAATATATTTGGACTGTCCAGGAGAGGGCTGGGCAGTACAAGACATACATTTCTGGGGGATAATCCAGGACTGGGAGTGAGTTGCGGTCACCCTACGGTATAGCCAAAGGCTGGTGAGATCCAGGGTGTTACTGCCAGGCTGCGTGCTGGAGGCTGTCTGTGAGGAGTCCCAGTTGGAGGCAACAGCAGCAAAGCATTGCAAGGGACCCAGGTTGCAGGGCAGGGGTGACCCAGCCCCCCACTGGTCTGGATTGCACCCCGATACGTCACAGTTGACTAAAGTTTTTATTCCTGCTAGCCCTGTAGAGATAACCCAGCCATAGAGTGGGAACTGGATTCTCTTCTGGCTTGTGCATCATTACAGAACTGTTGGCCACATTGGCTGCTGAATATTTATTACACGTAATGATGCACAAGAGAGAACCCAGCTTGATTTGCAGATCCCAAGGTGAGCATAAAGGGCTGGCAAATACCTGTGCGAAAGGGATGGAATAAGAGACCAGCAAAAGATGTTGTTGATTTCAAATGCTAGAACCCCAAGTTTCCGAAGCTGAAGGACCAGGGAACTAGGGAGAGATTTTAAAAGGCCTTGGTGTTTCCCCTTGTCCTGGTTCCGTTTGTGTTACCTAGTAGCTCTGCTTGTCGGCATCCCACTGACTTCATGTGCTATGGATATTCAGCAGTAGATGCAATACTTTAGTTTGCAGGACTCTCCAAATCTCACCTAGCTGGACCTTTACTTCTGTAGGACAAGGACAGAAACAAGAAGCACCCAGCAGTTCACAGACTCCAAGTCCGAGGCCAGAAGGGACCATTGTGATCAGCTAGTCCAACCTCCTGTAGGACACAGGCCAGAGAGCTTCCCCACAATAATTCCTAGAGCAGAGCTGATAGAAAAAAACAGGTTAACAGCACTGTTCTCTACAAACGATTCCTGGGCACCCGCATTCCATCAGCACCCCCGGAAACTCAGCTTCATTCTCACTCCTGTGAAGGTGTCAGATGCTGACCAGGAACCCCAGGAGCCATTCTGGCAGCCAGCAGGAGCAGTTCCAGCCATGTCCACTTTCTTCCAGGAATGAGCCCAGCGCTGGGAGACGGCCCTACACCCCGGAAGTCCCTTGACCCAGCAGGAATTATCAGGTACCCAGCAGGAATTATCCGGTACCCAGCTAAACAAGCTCTCTGGCTGCTTTTCAGCCAGAGCAGGAGTCTGAATATGGCCCATCACTTGGCAGCTGCTGACATCTGAAATCAAACAGGCTCCATAATTTTCTTAAATAATCAAGGAAATTATCTCAGCACGCGCCCCAAGAAAGCAATGCATATAGCCGACTCAGTTACTATAGGGAAACCCCTGTCTTCCAGGTAAGCTCTTGTGCATAAGCCCTTTGATTTCAGTTTCTCCCAGACAAAGAGAGAAATCTTGCCTGTAAGCAGCCAGCCCTCTGAAGCCAGGATCCTCTTTTATTGCCGGTTTCCCCTCCTTCCTTCCAAATGGGGCAGGTATCACAGAGAGGCCCAGACTGCAGCCCTAGTTCCAGTCCTGGGCTGCCACCAAGCTAAAATCCTGAATTGTGGCAGGGCGTTAAACCAGATGACTCGTGCAGTCCCTTCTAACCCTATGGTTCTATGCTTCTAAACTCAACACAGCCCCAAAAGTGGAGTGGGCAAATGTGGTTTTACATTATCTTTGTTGTCCCCCCCAACTGATTTGGGGGCAGCTGGTTGGTTTGCCCCAGGGGCTGCTCTAATTTTCCCTCTTGGTGCAGCAACCCAGGAAAGCTGGAGGGCAAGATGCTCTGGCCACACCTCTTCCATCCTCAGTGTACACCCCTCCTTTGCCCCGTATACCACACACATGAACCTGGGCTGGGCCTGCTAGCTCTTGGGTGGCTGACATGTCCACAGTGCCACCACTGGTGAAGCAGAGAAGAGCCTCTGGGCCCTACGGGTTCAAGCATGCTGGATGTCTCACCCACAGAGGTCCTGAGAAAAGAAGACTGACAGGGCACCTGAGAATGGTCTTCCAATATGTTAAGGGTTGTTATAGGGGACAGGGATCAATAATTCTTTGTGTCCTACCATCAGTGCCCATGGGATAATCGGTTAATTCGGCAGCAAGGGTGATTTGGATTAGATATTAGGAAAAACTTTATAAGGACAGGCATGGGCAACATATCGGGTGGGGCATGTGGGTTAAAGTGTCCCCCCAGATTTCTGCTTGGCCTGCCGGGGCAGGAGGGAAAGGGGCTCTGTCCTTCTCCCACTACCTCTCCCCCGCAAGCACACTTGCCCTCTGCACCATATCTAACCAACCCCATTGCAAGGATAGATCAGTTTTGCATATTACACAGAAAAACACCCCGTGAAGGTCAGAGTTATAAGGCATTGCAAATGCAATTCCTGGTCATTTTCATAAGGGATGCTTCTGCCAGATATGACCAAGCAAGCATTTCAGTTCCAATCCATATTAAATGCAGTTTCACCATGAACAATATTTTGTTCTACTTGCTTTATGCCACACCAATTTTTAAATTTTTTTTTAATTGCAGATAGGCGCATTCTGCTGCCAGAGGAACTAGAATGTTTCATTTACACTTCTCGATCTTGATATTAAAATAGAAACTGTTGAAAAGCAGATCTCTGCCCTGGGGCATGGGAGGGGGTGAGGGCTCTGGGCAGTGCTTACCTTGGGGGGGCTCCCTGGAAGCGGCCGGCATGTCTGGCTCCTAGGCAGATGCGTGGCCAGGTGGCTCCGTGTACTGTCTCTCCCCGCCGGTGCCACCCCCTCCGCTCCCATTGGCCATGATTCCCAGCCAATGGGAGCTGCGGAGAAAGCACTCGGGGTCAGCACACAGACCCCCCCCCGGCCAGGCCTCCACCTAGGCGCTGCAGCGATATGCCAGTTGCTTCTGGGAGCTGTGCAAAGCCAGGTAGGGAGCCTGTCAGCCCCGCCAGCACACGCCTCCCCCCATCTCAGAGGGGGTCCCGGGCCACGCGTCACCCCCCCCAGCACCAATGGGGTCCCAGGCCGCCCCCCCCCAGAACACCCACGGCACCCCCAGGCCGCCCCTCCCTCCAGAGCACCCAAGTTTTAGTCAGGGGTATATAGTAAAAGTCATGGATAGGTCACGGGCCATGAATTTTTGTTTACTGCCTGCAACCTGTCCAGACTTAACTAAAAATACCCGTGAAGTTCTCCAGGGCTAGGGAGAGTATTCTGTCCTGCCAGGAACTGCAAGTTCTAACAAATGCAGAGCAACGGGTTGCTTAGGGAGGCAGCAAAGAGAAACTAATCAGAGCTCGGGAATGATAAAAGTCTTATGTTTCGGGGCCTAGGGTCTGGGGAACACAACGGTTAGAAGACAGAACACACAGCAACAAAAGAATGGACGAGACGAGCATATTCTGGTGATGATGTTTCTGTTTTTTGGAAGTTACTGTATGTTATCTAGACAGTCATCTCAGAGCAGACAAAACAGTTCCACCTTCTCATTTCCTACTGTACGCATCTCCTGCCCCTCTTCCCCCCTCAATGTCATTTCTGGGTTTGGGTTTCGGGTTTTTGCAGCTATTTTCAATTGGTTGCCACGCCCTCCATTTCCACTAGGTGGCCAGACATACAAAATAATGCAAAGTTTGATCTTCTCACCCTGAGCTGTTCCTCTCCGCCACGCAGCCTCATCCCCTGAATTCTTCTGTCTCGGGGGAATTGCTCTCTCTGTTTAACAATCAAGAACAATAACAATAACGATCAAGAGACTGCACCGGGCAGGTGTCAAGATTCACTTCTTCCTTCAGCTTGTTTACATCAGGCCTAATTTTGTTGGGGACAGGAGGAGAAATGTTCAGGATCTCAGCATCTTTCAAGAGGATTTTCAAGCAGTTTGCAATGAGTGACCCATGGGCGTAGCTGCTCTTGGCTTGGAGGAGAGCTCAAGGACTGGTTACAGTTTCCGATGAAACATGGCGTGGTTGCCATTTTCTCTCTACCTTCTGGGGACTGGGCTGTGTAGAGGTAAGAACAGAAGGCTAAGGGGTGACTTTATCACGGTCTATAAGTATCTACACGGGGAACAAATATTTAATAACCGGTTCTTCAGCCTAGCAGAGAAAGATCTAACATGATCCAAGGGCTGGAAGGTGCAGCTAGACAAATTCAGACTGGAAATAAGGTATCAATTTTGAACCGTGAGAGTAATTATCCAATGGAGCAATGTACCAGGAGTCATGCTGGATTCTCCATCACTGGCAATTTTTAAATCAAGATTGGATTTTTTTTTAAAACCATCTGCTCTAGGAATTATTGTGGGGCAGTTCCCTGGTTCAGGTCGTACGAGAGGTTGGACTAGATGATCACAATGGCCCCTCCTGGCCGAGGAATCTCTGAATCTTAGTGCTTTCTATTCCAGCGCAGTATATCGGCAAGTGTAGTCTTACCCTAGGACAAGTTTTTGCATTTTCTTGCGAGCCTGTGGTAGTTTGTTGGTCTTGTGCGTGGGCTGAAGCTGAAATCAAGCTGCAAATCAACTGCAAGCAATGTATCTTTGTGCAGAATTTCAGTTTCTTATTGCAGACAGCTCTCTCTCTGAGTTGGAAAATCTGTCCTGTCTATGTAGAATTTGATGTAGCCCCATGTTCTAAGTACCATAATATAAGCAGAAACAATCTTCAAACAGAGGTGCATATCATAGCAAATGACAAGGTGTGAATACAACATTGCAAATGTTTTACCTTTTTCAGGTTAATTGTAACATACAGTTTATAGTACTGGTTTCAGAGTAGCAGCCGTGTTAGTCTGTATTCACAAAAAGAAAAGGAGTACTTGGGGCACCTTAGAGACTAACAAATTTATTTGAGCATAAGCTCAAGTTTATAAGTTTATAGTACAGGCATTCACTTTTCCGATGATGAGCACGGTATATATACACCTCGGTTCCAAGCCTACACAGACTTTCCTATGGGCTTGACTTTAGAATTCAGTCCATTAGATTACTCACAGTGCATAAAGGCAAGCATGTGCTTAAGTCTTTGCAGGAGCAGGGCCCTAGTTAGTTGTTTGCGTAGTCGTTCTCTGAAAAGTGTGCCTGTGTGTTACTGTTAGCATGGAGTGGACAATCTATGAGAGGCTGAGAAGAGCTTTCTGTTCAAAGTCTCTCTTTTTATTCGCTCCTAACTCTCTGGAGGAAAAAAAATCCTTGTGGGATTAAATGTCTTATGTTTGGTTTCCACTAGCGCTGGCTTAAAATGGGGAGGGGGAGGGAATTCTGAGAAATACGTGGAATTTCTTTTTGTCAGCATTTCCAAATGCTAGAGATTTTCTCAGTAGCCTGCCTCAGAAGTGAGAGGTGGATGGAACGTTTGAGTAAAATCCATCTGATTCGGCTAAGTGGAGGGGGATACAATACACACGCACATCTGAGTATACTCTGTGTGTCTAAGACTGTATAGTATATCGTGCATGTACTATTTATTATATATTCTGTAAAAAGAACGAGGAGTACTTGTGGCACCTTAGAGACTAACAAATTTATCTGAGCATAAGTTTTCGTGAGCTACAGCTCACTTCATCGGATGCATTCAGAAACCTATATAGTCTGTGTGTCTCTGGATTGCTCTATACTGTATGTACAGTAGTAGATTTTAATTTTAGATTGTCAGCTCCTCGAGGTATGGACCTTGGCTTCTTGCATTTGACGGCAAAGCATCGTGAACATCTTTGGTGCATCAGAAATAAAAATATTGCGTGATGTCTTGTAGATGTATGGGCCAAATTCTTCTCTTATTGAAATCAGCAGGTTGCAGAAGCAGAATGTGGCCTGTGTTTTTATTCTAAGGAGATTTGTGAGAATTATTATGAAGTAACTTGTTAGTCAAATGATGGATTTCATTCTGCTTTGGGTATTTATATGGGCCACATTACCCTAATATCTGGGCAGCTCATAATTAAGGCTAGGATTTAGTCACGGGTATTTTCAGTAAAAGCCATGGACAGGTCATGGGCAGCAAACAAAAATTCACGGCCCGTAACCTGTCCGTGACTTATACTATAAATACCCCTGACTAAATCTTGGGGGGGGGGATGCTGCTGTGGGGGGGGTACCGGGGGTGCTGCTCAGGGGGCACCCTGGGGGGAGGCACTTCTTGGCGGGGGTGGGCCAGGGCCAGCGTCACCAGCTGCCGAGGGCCACCGAGCAGCAGCTGCTCCAGCCGCCCTGGGACCACTGTTCAGGTGGTGCCCAGGGCCAGCTGCCCCGGGCCGCTCCAGCAGCAGCCGGTGTGGCTGTCCCCAGGGACACCTGAGCAGCAGGCCCTGGAGCCAGCTGCTTGGGCAGCCCTGTAGTCAGCTCCACTGGCCACTGCAGAAGCCATGGAGGTCGTGGAAAGTCACGGAATCCATGACTTCCGCAGCCTCCATGACAGACGCGGAGCCCAACTCATAATCTTTAGGGTATTTATCCTCATGACACACTGGTGAGGCAGGGCTTTTATCCCCATTTTACAGATGAGTAACTGAGGCACAGAGAGACTTGCCCAAAGGCAGACAGGAAGTCTGGGAGGGACAAGGAAATGAACCTGCATCCTAGTCTTTACAGTACAAACACCCTGCTGTTTTGTCTGCCTGCTAGATCATCCTTGGAAAAAAAATCCGTTTAATCTCCACGTTACCTGTGATTTTTCTTAGAGCAGCACCGCTTTCCCTTGATTTATCTTCTTCTGCAACTTTCACGCTCCAAGTACAAAGTAGCAAAGTAGTTATCAACATAGGCATTATTTTTATAATGGTCACTTTCTAGAGCCTACAGCTTTCTCCTGTGGAAAAGCACCTTGGGGGATGGAGAGATTCCTAGAGAACCAGCCCAGTGTGTGACGCTGAAAATGTACCAAGGAGCCATGTTAATATCGGGCAGCTCTGTCAGGGAAGTGACACGGGGTTTAGTATGCAAGGAAATCTCTGTGATGTTCTGCAGGTGGTTAGGGTCACGTCTACACTGCAACTTGCAGCAATGTTTACAACTGGATGGCGGGGAGGCAACTGTAGCGTAACCAGATTACCTGACACGGCTGCCTTTGCTGTGTAGACAGAGCCTACTGGAGTTACTCCAGACTGAACGCTTGCGTTGTGACTGACTCCACGCTCTCCTTTTCCTTAGCTGCGTCCAAACGAGACCTGGTTTTAGATCAGCCTCCAGTTGTCAGAGCCCTCAGAGGGGAGTCTGTGACTCTGGCCTGCTCCTGTGACATCTGTAACTACCCTGACTTCCACTCCGAATGGCGTTTCACCAGTGGAAACGGAGGCCCAGTCACCATCCTGGCCGTGAAGACGGCCATCAGTTCCAAACAGCTGGACCCATGGCACAAGTTTTCTTTGACGCACCAGAGAAACTCAAGATCTTTGCTGCTCATTAAAAACCTGCAGATAAACGACCAGGGAACCTACCTGTGTACAATGATTAAAAACGTGCCACCTCCTACGGTGATCTTGAAAGGACCCGGGACTCAGCTTGAAGTCTATGGTAATGATCGTTGACACGAAACACAGATAGCATGGGCCAGAACCTCAGCAGTCGTGGAACTAAGCCAATTTACACCAGCTGAGGACCTGGCCTCCGGGACCTAAATCCAGCTTAAATCCTGGCCTCCAGGACCTAAATCCAGTGAAACCTGTCCATTGAGGGGTAGAGTTTTTCTTGCAGCTCAGATGAGGGATGAGAGAGAGCTGGGGTTTGTGTCACATTCTTTATGGGTGGAATTCACCTCTGCACATTGTACCAGCAAAAAGTCACCACTTAAATCCCACTTAAGAGCTCAGAACACCGGTGCCGACTTTCTGCTTTCCCCAGGGGTGCTCCACCCCTGCCCCAAGGCCCCGCCCCCACTCCGCCCTGCCCCCTAAGGCCCCACCCTCACTCTGCCTCTTCCCGCCCCCTCCCCACCCTCTCCCCCGAGGCTCCACCCCCACCCTGCCTCTTTTTTGCCCCCGCTCCGTCCTCTCCCCGGAGTGCACCCCGTCCCAGCTCCTCCCCCTTGCCTCCCCAGGTCCTCCCACCCACTGCCAAACAGTTGATCAGCAGTGGGCAGGAGGCACTGAAAGGGAGGGGGAGGAGCTGATCGGCAGGGCCCACCGAACAGCTGATCAGCGGGTGGCTGGTGAGCGCTGAGCACCCACTAATTTTCCCTGTGGGTGCTCCAGCACCCAGGGAGTCGGTGCCTATGGCTCAGAATAGGGGTCTGCGAATCTCTGACACTCTAATGTACCTGAACAAACAAATAGCCACACAGATGCCTGTCGTCACAACGGGGACCTCTAGATCTCCATTTCCGCCCCGATCTGTAATCTGATTGACCTGGTTCTCTTCTCCTCTGCAGCTTTGCCCAATGTCTGGCTCTTTTCTTCTCCCTGGGAAGCAGCTCTTCCCATGGCCCAAGTGAGCTGTGCAGTGAGGGACTTTTATCCACAATCTCTGTACGCCACACTGAACGCCACGTGTGGGATAGACGAGGCGCTGGCGGACAATGCTTCAGCTGTAATGACTGGTGATGGGACCTTCAGCATGACCCTGCAGGCCTGGGTGAATATGACCGACTGCCAGAATGGGACGGAAGTGACCTGTTTGGTTAGACAGCTCACAGCTGAGACACGCAGAGTTCTCTGGATACCCAGGGCAAAAAATAAAGGTAGGAGCCCTGGCTATTTGAGGCCTTATGTAGCAATGGCCTTATGTAGCAATTCAGAGGCTTTCTGGGTGTAGGAGCGCTGTGGGGGAATGTGTGAAGACGGCTGGGATAGAAGCAGTCGTGGCCGGCCGGGTGGAAGGTGCAAGGGGCAACCTGAGAGGAGATAAAAGCATCAAATAGAGGGAAGAGCTGGGTAGCGCAGGACAAGAAGCTTGAACTTGATGCATCGAGGGAGCGGGGAGACAATGGAAGGTGCCAAAGACTTTTATAAAATGGTTTGACCGTGTGCCCAGAGTGTAGCATGGCTGCATTTACTAAGTCAAAAATAATAATAACCAGACTTGCCCCCATTGCCCATGCAAATTATGCACCAGTGACACCCAGGCTTTAATGGGATGTTGTGAACTTAAATAGAGGGCTTCAGTCTGGAAACTTCAGACCTGCTTTCATTGCAAGGCACAGCTGAGAGTCCAGTAGCTGGCAGAGGCTAAAGGAAACGGATTGCTGACCTTGCATTCAACAGCCCTTTGTGTGTGGCCACTTTCACTGCTTCCTCTGCGGAGTTAATTAGGCTGAGTTTAATTAGTCCATTTCTCTGTTCACAAAAGACTGAAACAGATGTTTAAATCCCATTGAATTCACATGCTTAAAACTAAGCCTGTCCTGAAACACCACGGACTAACGGTGTTTAAGTATGTAGTTAAAGTTAAGCACAGTCTTAAGTGAAGGGATGGATGCTTCAGTGGTTTGCTTAACTGGGGATGTAGGCCCTGATCCTACAAACATCTGCACACATAAGTAACTCATTTGCATGGGCATTTGTAGGTTTGACTCTTAGGGTTTGTCTACGCGGGGAGTTATTCCTGATTAATTATTCCTGATTAACTCCATATGTGGATACTCTTATGCCAGAATTAGAGTGTTTTATTCTGAATTAGCTTAATCTGGTGGATTAAACTAATTTGGAATAAGGCACTGTTATTCTGGAATAAGAGTAAATCCATGAGTGGATAATCAGGAATAATTAATCACCTTTAAATTCACACTTGACTTTATTCTGGATTAATTTTCATGTGTAGACAAACCCTTCATTTTCTGTGTCATTTTAGCGAGTCTTTCACTCAGCAACAGGGAAGAGAGAAATATATTAATAAGTAGAAAAAATTGACTTTAAAGCGACACCTGAAATTGTAATTCCCACCTGACACTGCTCTTTAACTTGCTTTTTCTGAAACGGACTCGGTTTCAAATGAGTTGTGTCCTTGTAAGCAAATGGTTATGCAAATGACATCCTGCTATGGCTCTGAACTTGGTCAAAAATGAACATCCCCCTGCCCCTTTTCCCAGTTCCTCCACTGACTCCAGTCTACTTTTCATAGGATTCCGGGCCTGCGGTCCCACTGAAGCCCACAGGAGGCTTTCCATTGATTTCAACTGGCTTTGAATAAGGCCTTAAATGATTTTTAAAGCATATTTTGGCAGCTGAGTTTTTTAGTGTCGTGGTTTGTTCACAAAGTTGGCACGCTTCAAAACCCCAAGTTTCCATTTTCCTGTCCGTCCGGCAGCTGAACGGCAGCTTCAGTGCGGTCACTATTGTTAATTCTGTTTTACCTGTGGGATGAGCCGCAGCCTGAAGGGTGTGAAATGCACTCGCAGGCTCATCGATTGCCATGTCAGAGCAGACCTCTGTCCAGTTAAATGTCCTGCTGGTCCCATTCATTTTAGGCTTCTAGTGAGTGCAGGAGCTGTCTGTACCTAAAGCTATTTTCCAACAGAACCAAATCCATACATAACTTTACTTGCACATCGAAAAGATGATGTGAAGATTGGCCATCAGAACCAGAGACCACGGCCCAGCATGCTGATTAATACTGGCTCATTTGTGCTACCTTGCCTGTCATCTTTTGTCATAGATTGTGAGCTCTTTGAGACTGGGCCATCTTTTTCTGCTGTGTTTTGTACAGCCCCAAGCACAATGGGGTCCAGGACTGGACTTCTAGCCAGTACCACAATGCCGATAATTAATAATAATTATTATTAAGAGTATCAGAGTAACAGCCATGTTAGTCTGTATTCGCAAAAAGAAAAGGAGTACTTGTGGCACCTTAGAGACTAACCAATTTATTTGTGCATAAGCTTTCGTGAGCTACAGTTCACTTCATCGGATGCATACTAACCAGCAGGAGAGTAGGGTGGGGGTGGGGGGAGAGAAAACCTTTTGAAGTGATAAACACCCACTTTTTCATGGTTTGTGTGTATAAAAACATCTTCTGTATTTTCCACAGTATGCATCCGATGAAGTGAGCTGTAGCTCACGAAAGCTTATGCTCAAATAAATTGGTTAGTCTCTAAGGTGCCACAAGTCCTCCTTTTCTTATTAAGAGTATGGCTTCCATAAGTAACTTACACACCTAATGGTTAACTCTTTACCTTCTCCTCCCCTCTCCATCCCACTTCTCTCTTTTATCCTCGTGGTGTTGTCTCGAGGGATTGGTAGATTGCAAACTCATTGGGGCATAGGCCCTCTTGAACAGGTGTAAATGCTGCAGGCTAGTGGGCATTCCCACCAGGCAGGGAAAGGAAATCAAGCTCCATGTGTGACCCACACACCTCCTGGGGGTGGTGCTCTGTCCCATCTAGTGGCATCCAGACCACTTAGAGAGAGAGAGATTAATGAGTCTGCTCTACAGCCTTAGCTAACAGCCAGTGGCTTTTAGCTCATGCGGTGGAGGCTTATGCACTAAGCTCCAGAAGTCCCAGGTTTGATCCCACGCGCTGATGCCCGAGGTCTGCCTGTGTTATGCATGCACTCCTCCTTTCCTTGCGGCTTGTTTATTGACCACAATACAGCTACCAGATAAAACACTGGCAGTAATCCCCAGCCACCCTCTCAGAATTGGGAATTTTATTTGAAAATGTCGCTAGATTTCTCTTTTTAAGGGTAAAAAACACGTTAAAATTAAATGAAAAAACAAACAAAAATAATCGTTTTGGGTGAAACTAAACATTGTGTTCCACCCGAAACGAAATATTTTCGATGTTTTGTTTCGGCTACTGTACCGAAAAGCCAATTATCGCTCTGCTCTAGCCATAAGTACTCAGCCTGCTGGCTTGCCTTGGGTGCAGTTTGGAGAGGGCCAATGTGTGTTGCAGTGGGTTGATTTTGCCATGCAGTGTACTGGAATTTCTACAGTGCTATGAGAGCACTCCCGGCCCTCCCTGCCCCCCCGGCCCATCTTTTTAGTAATTTTCAAGGTAACCTGCTCAAACACTGCAGCAGCTGGGCACTTGCTTCTGGTCTGAGCAATGCCACAGGCCTTATCTTCACATCCACTGAGTGACCGTAGAGCAGAAAAGAGTAAGGAGGAAGCAATTACAGCATGTGGTTAGGGGCCCAGGTTTGCACGAAACTGCTCGTTCTCTGTTCCTCTACAGAAGCAAACACTATTGAGTACTGGGTAGATATTCACCCTGCTCTGAATTTTAGTCTGTACACAAAGGCCAACCCTGTATGTTCACTCTGAATGGCTTCTATTAAGGGAAGCAATCAAGCAAGCTAGAAAGTAAGTGAAGTCTCTATGAGAAAGGGAGAGCACAGTGTGTGTGTGTGTTTCTGTACCATGCTGCATGCCCTCTGCCTTCCAAAATGGCAGCTGCCTATGCAGGCAGGCAGACGCCTTAGTAATTTAAAGGTGCAGTGAAGAGAAAAGAGTCATAACAGCTATATGGCTACATACACCAAGAACCCTCTTGATGCATGCAGCAAAGTTCTCATGGAAGTTAAGATGTCACATATGTACGCCCAGGACTTCTCACTGTGATGCATTAGGGATGAGCATGAGATGAAATTACTCCGTTCTAAAGTACCAGAAATGTGGAAAAACCAGGAGGAGTCCGGTGGCACCTTAAAGACTAACGGATTTATTTGGGCCTAAGCTTTCGTGGGTAAAAAACCCCACCCCTCTGATTCCAGAAGTGTGGAAATATCTGTCTTTTTGCCTAGTGCAGTTTCTAAGGGCTAGTCTGCCCTGGCGCTTTACAGCCCTGAAACTTGCTGCACTCAGGGGGGTGTTTTTTCACCCCCCTGAGCAAGAAAGTTGCAGCGCTGTACATGGTCAGTGTAGACAAGCCCTTAAGTGCTAGTTTCTCTGCTCCGTCCTGAATTGTAGCCCTTTCCCAGGCTTTATAATTTAACCCCCCCTCCCCCTTCACTTCTTATCTTGCTTTTTGTGTTTTAGCATTGACTTAGGAAATGTTTAGTACCAGTCTTTGCACTAGCCAGCGATGACTGACCCCACTCTGGTCTTCAAGAGGCCTGATCCTGTATCGGCAGGAATGGCGTATCTCGGCCAATGGTCTGACCCTGCACCTATACAAGCAAATGTTTTTCCACGGGTGACAAGGTGTACAAACCCCACATGGGAAAGGGAGAGGTTAACGAGCTACTTGGGGCCCAGGCAGCCTCACCCTGCTGTCCCTGGATAGTACCTCTGGGTTGGAGATTAAAGAAAGAGCAAACAGAACAGAGCAGAGGGGACCTGACCTACGCCCTCAGCTCCTCCTGCAAGAGGTTCCTCTGCCTGGGCCACCGGCTTTTGGGGCTCTACTCGACCTGCTGAGAGAAAGGCCACTCCACACTCAGAAGGGCTCTGAGCTCTGATTTATTTTATTTGATGTCTTCAGTTTGCTCTTTTGGAGCAGGGGACTGGTAGGAAGCAATCCAGGGAAGGAGAAGTACAGCACCTTTGGGTGCAAACCTTCACTGCTTACCACAGGGCCCTGGATTGGAACGCAAAGGAGAGGGTGGGCTCGGGTTCCCCTACTAACCCCTAGGGGGTGACGAGGGTCTCAAGCCTACCCTGGTATTAGAGAACCTGGATGGAATCAAAGCCCCAAAACCAAGGGAGTAGAGACCTCAAAACATAGTCTCAGGGGAGGCCTAGAGACCCTCTTGGCTGATCCTAGGATTATCAGCTGCCAGATTCTTTGCATATCCCAAGAGGAATGAGGCCCTAGCTAACTCTGTGGTCAAACCTCAGTAAGTAGCATCCCGTAAGTAGGGACTGAAGCCAGTGGAGGGCAAACAACTAGAGGCAGGCTCGCCACGATGCCATGCCCCGATACAAGACGGCACCCTGGAGATGAACTGCCTACTACACCACATGACAGGTAATTAAGCTGTGGAACTCCTTGCCACAGGAAGTTGTCAAGACTGAAAACATAGGAAGGTTCAAAAAGGGATTGGATGTTTGCATGGCTAGCAAGAATGTCTGGAGTTGATACAGTCAATGCTAATGTAAATTTTGGGAGATTAAACCTCATGCTTCAGGGTTTAAGACCAACTCTAATTAAAGAGATTAGGAGACCTAATATAGCGGGGGGGGGGCAGATTACCCCACATCTGCCCAATATGGGGTTCCAAGGACCGTCCTCTGAAACATCTGGTGCTGGCCTCAGTCAGATTCAGGCTACTGGACGAGTCCCCGTCTGGCTGCTTCTCTGCTTTGCTGTGGTGTTGCACCGTGTCACAGGGTCTATGCCGGCACTCCCACTTTTGTGCCTACACCCTGTGTTTAGGCTGGTATAATAAAGAGTCCCATCACCTTCTTCAGTGGTCTCACCTTTGTGTCCTTATTTACAGTGTCCTTATTTACAGTGCAGTCCCACTTCCCCCCAACAACAGTCACACCACAAACCCTTCCCAGGGTCTTCTAGCCCTTGAGGTTCCTTCCAGTAGGTAAGGAGACAGAGAAACAGCCCTCCTGTCTCCTCCCAGGCCACCCCTCACTGAGGTTTTCCCAGGGCTTTCATAGCCGTCCCAGTCTTTAGCCCAGCTCTTCCCACTCAGCCCAGCTCATTGCTCTGAGCTAGCCCTCATTAGGGCTTACACCTGGGCTCCCTGTTGTATACCCATGTCTCTCTACCTGGCCTTTTGACCAAAGAGCCGTCTGCAGCCAGCATTTTGGCAGGGCTTTAAAAGGGGTTTTACCCCTGCCCTGCCACACACTGACATGTGCTGATGTTGGCTCATGGTGAGGTAAGACCGCAATGCCAGCAGGGCCATAAGGGTTTGTTACGCTGTATTTACCGCATGACTCTTGGGGACACCATTCATTGAGAAGGTCTTTGCTCAGCAATGGGATTCCAGATGTTATTGTTTCTTTCCTGCACCTGCTAGGGCTCTGGCATGTTAACTGTTTACTTCCCATTCGGTATAAGATGCTGATGATGATTACTCAGCAGGGATCAGCAGTGATAAACAAATGCATTTCTCTTCTTTCCCCTGGCTGCAGCTGCGTTGTTACCTGTGCCCATCATCCTCATCAGATTTATTTTTGGAGGAGCTGTGGTTCTTTGCCTTATTTTCCTGCTAGGCTGCTTCATGAAAAGTAAGTATCCAGGAAATGGAGACATTCGATGCTGATCAATGGAGTGTTCAACAAAGCATCTCAGTCTTGGCTCGTATTACAGACAACTAAGGGCCATTGTTTCTGGGATCTATCATGTGTGATGACATAGAGCCTGCCTGGAGAGTGAAACTGAATATTCCTGGCAAAACTATTGACTTTAAAATTGACTCAAGGGTGGATGTGACAGTCATCTCAGAAGGGACTTACAGTCACCTTCAACCCCTCTCCGAGCTGAAGTCACCTGACACAGCTCTGACCAGCCCTGGAGGTATATTGAACTGCCTGGGTCAGTGCATCACAGAAATAACTTAGAAAGACAAAAGCTATGCATTGTATGTGGGGTTGTTGTAGCCATGTCAGTCCCAGGATATTAGAGAGACAAGGTGGGTGGAGTAATAGCATTTATCGGACCAACTTTTGTTGGTGAGTGAGACAAGCTTTCGAGCTTACACACAGCTCCTCTTCAGGCCTGGGGAACATACTCAGAGCATCTCAGCTAAATCCAAGGTGGAACAGATTGTTTAGCACAAGTAGTTAACATATTTCAAGGGACCAGACAAGGTGAGGTGGCCTGTTAACACCCCTCCAGTCATGGGGGAAAGGAAGGGAGGGGGGGAAAGGTAGCTGCAGGGGGTTGTTAGTGGGTTACAAATTGTTGTAATGAGCCATAAATCCAGTGTCTCTATTCAGTCCATTATTTTTAGTGTCCGGCAAAGTTATGAATTTAAGCTCCCAGGCTCATCTTTTGAAAGTGTTGTGCAGGTTTCCTTTAAGGATGAGGACTGAGAGGTCAGATATAGAGTGATCACTTATAGGGTGATCAGATATAGGGTGGTTTTGACTTTTATCATTTTCTTGTGTGAGTTCATGCGAGAGTGTAGTGATTGTCTGGCTTCACCCACATAGTTGTCTTCATAGCAGGCCTGCCCGGACCAGCTGTGACACTGAATTCCTTGTACACCGCTGTACAGCCCATCGATCCCCAGGCTGGAGGAGGTGGGCAGATATCACAGAACGGGAGTAGGCAGCTGCACAGCTGAGCAGGAGCTCACGGAGCGGGTCTCTGAACTGGTGCAGCATAGCCACCACTCAACTACCACCGCGACTAATTGGACCTCTGAGATGGTTTGTGCTGGGACTATGAGATCTGAGCCTCAAGAAGCCTGGCCAGTTATTACTTGGAACTAAGGGGTTGAGGACGGGCCAGATTTTAAAGGTATTTAGGCACCTGACTCCCATTGAAATCAAATTCCTAATGCAGTGATCTGGCTCACTCGATTTCTTGTATGTAAAATATTTATCTGTAGGGTTTTCATGTTTCTTTTGACTTCCCTTTTCGCTAAAGCAAAAGATCCATCTGGTTCCATATTCCCAAGGCCCCCAAGTGCTGACGAGTGGAGAAGACCCACCTGCAACGTTGCTCTGCCAGGGTTTATTTTAATTTCCCAGAGCCAGAAATAGGAGCCCAGCATGAGCTGTCATTCGGTGTATTTTAGAGAAGGGCCCTTGGACAGGCTGAACCCAGCCCTTGTTGTGGCCCTTGGTACCTGGCAGGTAGGTTGCACATAGGTTGGTTCTCCCGTCAGATGTTAACGGCAAAGCATTTCATGCCGTTGTCCCTGTGCTTTGGTGGGTAGCTGGGAAAGCTGCCTGATAGGGATTTCCCATCTTATTTCTGAGATGCAAAGTATGCCATACTAAAGGCCAAATGCAGGTTGGGGGTGAGAGGCCCAGGCAGCTCCCATGGGATTGCACCTATTGCTCTTTGAATGTGGGCCTGCAAGCTTGGTTATTTAATTAGCTTTTGCATTTGGCTGTATTTGGAGCTGGTAAATGTCTGCTTCTGTTGGCAGCATTTGTTTTAAGTTAATAATCCCTTGCCGGCTCTTCCTTCCGAGGATCTCAAAGTACTTTACAAATACAAATTTGATTTCCCTACGTGATGGTGAGCTACAGATGGGGAAACTGAGGCAGTGCTGTTCAGTGTTGGCTGGTTTGTAGGACACCTGAACTCGATGAGCAGCAAGGGATGTTGTCACTAACACAAAGGACCATTGCCATCTTCCGGCAGGAGGTAGCCCAGCCAAGCACAAGCCAGTATGTGGCAGTGTGAGTGTCTGAGTGTGATGCTAAAATGGGGGAGCTGCCATATTTCTAACTAGACTCAAAGAGCTGCAGTGAACCAGAGGGCTGCTAATGCAGTCATCCAGTGAGATAGAGCGTGAGCAGAAAATGCTCCCTCTAAACTCAGACGCGCAAGGCCTATGTGACAACTGGAACATCTGGGAGAATTCAGCCTGGTTCCTGGTTATACCAAAAGATGAGACCTTGAGGGAGTCGGGGTCACCAGGCCTATTCAAGGAGGATTGAACCAAGACAAGCAAAAAGAGCATGCGGGAACTGAGCCCCCAGGTGGCCTGCCATTAACTTCTCAAGGCCACCATGAGAGCAAATCTTAGGACTAACTAAGTCATTGCACCGTAATGGTGCAGAGATCTACTCAGCACAGCTGGGAATGGGCACCAGAGAGCTGGTTCCAGATTCCTGAGGCTAGGGCCCAATCGGTGCAGGCCCTGGCATGTGTTAGAGCTGCCTAGGGGTTGCTCAGACTTCTGAAGTCACGGGAGACGTGCTGATTTACACCGAGCTGAAAATCTGGCCTCGTGTTGTCCTTCCTTTGCCTAAAGTGGGGCTGAATTTATCCGGTGGTTGAAATGGCTGTTCTGCCACTTGCCAGACACACTCCATGATCTGTAAGCACCCATCCCATGCTAATTAAGGATCATGTTTCGAACGAGCTCGGATTTGCTCAGTCAGCTCTTGTGCACTAAGAACTAGTGCGTTTCTAAGGCCACGGCTACACTACAAGGCTTTTAGCGACCCGGTGCTGCAACGGTCACACTTCCACTAGGCCACGGATGTGATGGAGGGAACATCGAGCCCCCAGAGGTGACAGTTCTTCCTCTTCCGGCGATAGCCACAGTCCTGGGCAATCTTGTCACCGAACAACACGGAGAACAGCCATCTGTGGCTGCGGCATTAAATATCGCTTGGCAATTTGGCTAAAATACGGTATCACCATGATACATACACAGTCACGCCTCCAAATCATCCACAGGTAGCCAAATGTAGTAGATGCTTGCCCACACCCGCCTGTCTATTACATTGTGCACTTCATACTATTCCAGAGTCAGTAATTGCCAGCATGAAAATTCAACATATTAACCTTCAGTGCAGTACAACGTTTGCACTAAGACAAGCCTGCAGAAATCAGTTGTAAATTGGAACCCACAGTACAGGATGCAGTTAATCCAATAAAAGATATGACCTCATATTACCATGTGATTAGGGGAAAACAGAATTATACCTTGGATTAGTCCAGCCAGCCAGCAGGTTTTCTTTTGTGATGATGACAAATCTGGACCGGGGATGGGAGATCAATTTTCGCTGGAGATCGCATTGTGTGATTGGATCAAGGCAACCTGAGAGACTGGAATGTATGGTCCAAGTCAATTACACCGGACCAAGAATGGACAAAGCAGAGCAGAAACCAGAGATGGATGGCAAGAACCACGAAGAATGAAACCCTGAGGAACATGAGCCAAAGTGCTGGGTGGAAACCGATGCCAGGCTCATAACAGGAGCGGGGAAGATGACTCCCTGTCGCTATGGAGTCATCACAGATGAATTACCTCATCCAGTGGCTACTGCTTGTGTGAAATCCATCACACGCTACTCTGAGTTATTTATAGATGGAGCTGGGTTGGGGGGTTTCTCCCGTCCCCCTCTACACTGATTTTAAAGGAGACAATGATTAAATGAGAACTGAGGTCGGGTCTGCACTACAGACTTATCTCAGTATAACTGAGTCACTCGGGGGTGTGAAAGATCCACCCCCCCGAGCGACATAGTAATAGCAACCAAACCCGTGGTGTGGACAGCACTAAGCACTAAGTCAATGGGAGAGCTTCTCCCCTCCACACAGCTACTGCCTCTCGGGGAGGTGGATTAATGACGCCGATGGGACAGCCCTCTCCATTCGGCACAGGAGCATCTTCAGTACAGCGATCTGGCAGCACAGCTCCATCGGTGCAGAGCATTTTTAGTGTAGACCTGCCCTGCTCAGAATTCCTGTTATGTTCCAAGCACCACCTGCTGGTCAAGAAATAGAACTGGAAATATTCCCACTAATCTAACCCAAAAGGAAGTGTTTCTTCACACAACGCACAGTCAACCTGTGGAACTCCTTGCCAGAGGATGTTGTGAAGGCCAAGGCTATAACAGGGTTCAAAAAAGAACTAGATAAGTTCATGGAGGAAAGGTCCATTAATGGCTATGAGCCAGGATGGGCAGGGAGGGTGTCCCTAGCCTCTGTTTGCCAGAAGCTAGGAATGGGCGACAGGTGATAGATCACTTGGTGATTCCCTGTTCTGTTCATTCCCTCTGGGGCACCTGGCTTTGGCCACTGTCAGAAGACAGGATACTGGGCTAGATGGACCTTTGGTTTGACCTAGTATGGCCGTTCTTATGTTCCTATGTAATCTGCATATTCCCCAATAAAGGCATGATGAGAAGAAATAGCTAACAGTTATTGCTGTTTGTTTTAATTTGTTTCCTATTACAGTCCTGGTATAACTATGGTTTTATGTTGGACCTTCATATTTTGGTTGAAAAGATAAGCTTTAAAACGAGTAACCATACCATGCAAAGAAGTCAGGGAAAGAGAAACAGATTTAAAAGGCCAACCCAAAGAGTCAAGGTAAACTTTGCCTTGGGATGGATGCTGCTGTTGATTTGATGTCTGCCTTGTATGAGACAAGTTGGAAAGGGGGTGCATGTTGAGATCTGTTAATTCTAGCCACACAGGGTATGGGAGTTTTCAGTGAAAATCTCGGCGAAAGCACGTTCTGCCTGAAATGACTTGTTTGGAATCCAAGACAAAGGCTCCCTCCCTAGTTCTGTTTTGTCCCCAAAATGCTGCTCATTCCAGTCTGAAGCTTCCTGTTATCATGAGTTCATGGACCACTCATTCTGGCTAGTGATCCCTCAGAGTCCTGAATCCATGTACGTATTCTGATTGCACTCTGGTCTTGCTGGCTGCCTAGGTGTTCCCATGTCTTTTGCTGAGGTCCTCTGGAATCTGCACTGGAAGGTAACACCTGTGCATTGACTGAGAATTAATAAGTTGGTCAAATACCAGAGAAAATATTTGTTGCATAAGTTATTGTGTAAATATGGGTCCCAATCCTGCAAAGACCACTTGAGCAGAATCAGTGAAGCGCCTTGCAGGGTCTACCTGTGTGATGCTCATTGCAGGATCGGGGCCATGTTCGAGCAGCTCCAGAGTTGGATGAATACCAGAAAAATTGAATTCTTAAATAAATTCAGCCTCCAAACTGGCAAAAATTTGTCAGCTCATGGACTGGACAATGACTCTTCAGCCAGGTCTAGTGAAAAGGTCTGTGGCCTAGTGGAAAGAGCACTGGACTGGGACTCAGGAGAACTGGAGTCTATTCCTGGCTCAGCTTCCTGAGTGAGCATGAGCAAGTCACATCACTTCATCTCCCCATGCCTCAGTTTCCCCATGTATAAGAAAGGTATAATGATATTGGGCTCCTTGGCAAAGTGCTTTGAGATCGACTGATGAAAAAGCTCTACTTAAGAGCTAGGTATTGTCTATATAGGATATAACACACTCCTCTTGTGACGGGGTGTACAAACCCCACACTGGGCCACAAGGTGTTAAGGAACTACTCTGGACCCCACCCCTCCACACCTGGAGCAAATCCTCCATCTGGAGGAGGAGTTAAAAGGCAGGGGAACAGCTCATTTGGGGGCAGACCAGGGAAGAGAACAGACCTGCAGCTCCAGCAGAGGAGAACGAAGGGAAGGCGAATCTCTCCCTAAGACACCTGCCCGGAGGTCCCTCCAAGGAAAGACCTGCCTCAGAGACAGCCAGAGAGGGAAGCACGCCACTCTCCTGCTCCTAGGAACTCTGGACTTTGGGAATTCCCTTTATTTGTTGTTTGGACTACCCCAGCAGGGAAAGCCCTGGGCCTGAGCTGGCCCAGGAGATGGGGGGGTGGGGTCATAACCTGGAAGGAGAAAAAGAGCTACCAGTGCATGACAGCACCGGAAAGTGCCTTGTGGTCAGCAGATGCCCTGCACACTGCCTTAACCGAGACAGTGACTTTGGGACAATAGCCGGGGGCGGAGACAGGAAGTGAGCTGGGGGGCGGGGGGCACACTTGAGCAGCCTCAGCCATCAGATCATAGATAGTCCTCAAAGGGCCCTGGGTGGGAGCCCGATGGAGTGGGAGGTAGCAGCCTTAGTCTGATCACTAGGTGCCACTACCCGACCAACCAACCCCTGAGTGAGGACCGTCAGACCCCTAAATATACACCTATTGCCATGACGCTAGGCGGTGGGTGTGGGGGACTGAACAGGCCAGTTGTTAAACTCTAATACAATTAAAACATCAGGACAGGTGCACAAAATGTTACAAACTGCCACAGGGGCTGAAGGGCCGGCTGCAGTCAGGACTCAATACCGCTGATGATGTGAGTGGGTCACTTTGCCGAAGTTTGTTTTGCTCCCTGTAAGGGTGCTTTTGCCACCAGAGTGGCACAGAACAGCTGTACCAGGGCTGAGAAAGTGGCCCATCATCTCTGCCATTCGCACTATAAGGGGATTTTGCACGTGTCCAGCTTCTGTTGATGGTCGCTCACCATTTCAGCCACCAATAGCAGCCATCCTTCTGAACAACACGGCAACTCCTTTAGGGCCTGATCCAAGCCCAGTGAAGTCAATAGGAGTCTTTCCATTTATGGAAAGCCAGAAAGCCAAATGGCATTGGCTGGCCCCATGGGGATCAGTTCCTGGTCCTACGTTATTTAACATCTTTATAAGTGAAAACATAAAATCATCACTGAGATTGGTCCAATAAAAGATATGACCTCACCCACCTTGTCTCCCTAATATCCTGGGACCGACCCAGCGACGACTACACTGCATACGTTTGGCAGATGCCACAGACGTTGGGGGCGTGGTAAATAATGAAGAGGACAGGTCACTGACACAGAGCGATGTGGATTGCTAGGTAAACTGGGCCCAAGCGAACAATATGCGTTTTAATACAGCTAAATGTAAATGTCTGCATCTAGGAACAAAGAACTTCGGCCAGACATACCGGATGCGGACTCTATCCAGGAAGCAGTGACTCCGAAAAGGCTTTGGAGGTTACTGTAGATAATCAGCTGAATGTGAGCTCCCAATGTGGCACTGTGGTGGAAAGAGCTAATGGGATCCTGGGATGCCATAAACAAGGGAATCTGGAGTAGGAGCAGAGAGGTGATTTTACCCCTGTACTTGGCACTGGTGCGACCACCACTGGGATCCTGTGTCCAGTTCTGGTGTCCACACTTCAAGAAGGATGTTGTTAAGCTGGAGAGAGTTCAAAGAAGAGCCATAAGAACAATTAAAGGATTAAAAAACCTGCCGTACAGTGATAGATTCAAGGAGCTTAATCTATTTCGCTTAACAAAGAGAAGGTTAAACTGTAATCAAGGGGTGACTTGATCACAACCT